ACACCACCCCCTCCCATTTCCCCTTCTCCCTAGTTTAGGAAACCATTAATTAGCCTCCAACATCCAATTTATTTTAAAGTTTAAGTATTTTATGAAAACGTCTCCTTTCATCTGTACTCTATGGAACATAACAGAAAAATTCTACGGCAATTGTGTATTGGTCTAATGATCACTTTTGGGGGGAGGCAGGAAAGGGTTTCAATCTCACCTCCAGGCAACAAGTCTTTTCTCATAAGAAATCCATTATTCCATATGCATCCACTAATCATTTCACACTCCTATGAGCAGTTTGCTGCTACAACATTCAGTAATCTCAGCAGTAAATACTATCAGAGTCTAGTCCAATACAAACACACTTAACACCTACCTCTAGCATGCAAAAGCTCTAAAACACACTTAACTTGTAGAGCCCAATTTACCCAGGGGCTGCGCAGATGTTCGGAACAATCCTCCAGGTGCTGAAGACATGCTTCAGGCTTAAGAGTTTTGACAGCCCTTCAGATGACACGCTCCTGGCGTTTCCTGAGCCCTTCTTCCTTTCCCCCACTGAGGCCACTGCTCTTAAAGCACCTTCCTTTTATGCCTGGATCTCTGACTATGCATTATTATTTTGCAGTGCTCTTCCTGAGACATATTTAGTAACCCTCAGTGCCCCATTTATTTGTCCCATGTACGCTTCAAATTCTAAATTAATTAGCATTAACATCATTAACTTTACAAAATTTGTTTAGAACTCAAAACTACAGAGATAAATCACATAGAAGATATAATAGTTCAAGAAGCCTATGAAGTCTACTTAGCCTATAATCTTTATCTAAAACCAGAAACCAACGACAAAAAAAAAAAAAAATCCAAATGACCAGGACTGCCAGGGCATCAAAGCTCTATTAGGCCTGTAATTAAACATGCGTTCTCTACTGTACCTGTCAGGTAAGGAAGGCGTAAGCCTTCGGTGAAGGGGGGACGTGAAATGGCTCTGGGATAAGGGGCAGATCTCTTCATCAGGAGGTTGACAAGCAGAGGGCCTACAGACAAGGGGAAGCCCTCTCCAACACAAGTAGACCTCTGGAAACGTGTGAGAAAATCTCCCTCACTCAAGGACTCTGCTGATTTCCTTAGCCCAGTGCACACTAACAAAAGACAACAGAATTGTTCAACTCCACTGGGCATCATCTCATTTACATCAAATACCAAGCTGAGCTATGCTGAGCATCTCCTGCATGTGAAGCAAACTCCCAGGTAAGAAGGGATCTCTCTAGGAAGGAGACTGTCATGCTTTTCCTTTGTCACGAGAGAGATTAAAGAGCAAGTAAAAACCGGAAGGAAACCGCCACAGCTAGCCTTTATTTCCCTTTCTTCCCACCTTATACACCCCATACCACGAAGCACTCCGCTTCCCTGGAGAAATGCCAAGACGGATTAAGGAGTAGCAAGTTAAAGGAGAGGGTCTAGTTACCAGCAGCAGCAGAGATGAGGTGGACCTGGCTGAATCATGTGAGTGAGGGGCAGGTGACAATCAACAATGCAAACGGAAGTATGTGAAGATCGTATTTTAAATAACCAAGCATTATTTCTAAGGTTAACAGCTTTGGGAGACTCTGGTTGGCTCTGAACCTGTAGGAAATGTTACTCTGACAGGAATGATAATGACTCCCTGGATATTACATGCTGCAAGGGCCCTCCGAGACCACACAGTGACACGGCTGACAGTTTGTGGGTTACAAACTCGTCTGAGAATACCACAGTGGTGCTTCTCTCCTACTCCCATGCCAAGGGAATTACAAATAAACTTTCAGAGGCTCTTTCAGATGAACAAAGAGCCAGAGAGGATAAATCGGGAAGCCACCTGCCTTGGGTCAAATCCGAAGTGTCAGAGCTCAGAAGACTCTTGACTCCTGGCCTACATAACATACCTGACGACTGTCAGTCCTCAGCCAGCACAGCTGTCTCTCCGCATTCCAGAGCTACTCCCCAGTGCCTAGAGATGGGCTTCAGGATGCTCCTATTAGAATCCTAACCATACCCTTCCTCACAAAGCTAGGCTTCCACACACACAGTAGCCCACAGCCACCTGCGCGGTCCATTATCCTGCCACAGAAGCCTGTTTACCAGAGCTTAAGCACTGAGAGCTTCAATTTTGTCTGGGCATCCCCAAGCACTCTTCAGCCTGAGTTCTTTGCCAGTGCCCTTGAAACTAGGGCTTTCTAAAATACACTTTCTTTAAAGTCCCTCTTCATCTTCAGCCAAATCCTCAGCTAAAAGGATACTATAATATAGCTGACAAATTCATTTGGGTTACTCCCCAAATTGTGCCTGTCTCAAGCTTTAATGCTCCAACATTCTCTTGCCTGGAATTAAGTTCGTTTAATTGTGTGTTTCCATCAAAGGTTTTACTAAAAACTACAGTGCATACTTCTGAAATCAGCTGTGCCTACAAACAGCTTACGTCCTGGAGTCCTTAAACCCCTTTCAACCGACAGCCCGAGCTATCTTGTCAGCGTCTCTAGAAGGGCCTACTAATTACATGGAGTAATTACTCCTTTTCTCATCTCACACAGGCACTCTGGAACACACATTCGTTTCATACGGGTACTTCACAGAGAAGAGCTAAACTAACTTCTCATGAAACTAGCCGAAAATGCAGGATCTAATAAAAAAAATCCCCCCCCATTCTGAATCAACATCTCCATCTGTGTCTAATCAATGGCAACCCCCTTGAAAAGGATCCTTGCTCCCGATTCCCAGCATCTCCCTACCCCTCCCTCACTTATTTACTGTTTGGTAACTAAAGGTGGCAGCAAAGCCTTCCCACGAGGTTTATCCTTAGAGATAATTCTCACTTCAGTCATTCCCATTCACTAAGAGCAAATGACAGCTCATCACCCTAAAAAACAAACATAAACACACAACAAAGATCTCTTTCAACCATCCCAATCGTTTTACAATACCAATGTCTTTCCTGCCTGTGAAGTTTCTAATGCCTCTTTATTTTCTGTTGGCTTCAATTTATGTCACAGTAATCATGCAAATCAGCTAATTAATATTCACAGAACATTTTATGTATCTACTATCTAGGATATACTCTCTGCCTCAAAAGGGTCATCCAGCCATCACACTTCTGATTTAAAGGGGGAATGGGAGCCAAACCTACACTAATGAAAAGAGCAAGGACGCGAGTCCAACCCTTTATTTTACAAATAATGAAAATGAGTACCAGAATGACATAGTGCCTGCCACTGAGGCAGAACATACCATTTCTGAAGGAAGAATCTAGGCCTTCAATTCCAACTCAAGACCAATTTTTGTATCACCTAACTTTAGTGAAAACCAGTTTCCCCTTTCTATTATATCCTTCTGTCTGAAGATAAAATGTGTACTTCAGGCACACAAGCATTTAAACACACAGTGTTGTCTGAATTCTGTCTCTGGGGAGACATACCATCTCCCTTCTGCGGCCCCAATAACAAACCAAGGTACAATTCCACCAAAGTTTCCCCTGGGGAACTAATGTTTGTTTACTAGCTAGGCTTACTACAGAGCATGACTGAGGGGCTACTTACAGGAGCCTGGTGTACTCAAAAGCAGCGAGACTGTCAAGTCTTCACCCGGTATGGATGACAGCTTCCTCAGAGTTGTACCCACAGAGTTAACCTTTCCAGACTAAATACTTTAGTGCCTCCCTACCAAGAGGCCATGTGCATCTGGGGCAGAATTACATACAAAAGGCAGATGGTTCAAGGAGTCCTGAATCTCAGATGAGGGCCAATGACCCATCCCCCATCCCCTTCTATGAAGGAATGACAACAAACAGTAGGCCCAATTGCAGGGTCTTTTTGCAGGAAGTCATGGATGCTCTGACAAGGGCTGAAGGCTGCTAAGCCTGGAGGATGGTGCTCACTCTACAATACATCTGTTCTACAACAGCCTTCTCCCAAACCCGGTACAACTGCAACATCACAAATTCTGACGAGAAGGGTGGAGTCTTTCCAGACATCTAAAAATGGAATTCTCAAATAAACGTTAAAATTACAAGAATTGATAGTCCTCAGTCTGTACTACATGGTATGTGCTCTCCATGTTCCAATTTCTCCACCTCCATAAAAACCTTAGCTTTACAGAAACCTTCTTTTATCTCCCATTTGTGACGGGCTTGGGGGTGGGAGAGCAGATTAAGCCAGTTGCTCTGACAGATGAGAAACTCTAGGTTCAAAACAATGAAGGGATCGGCTCAAAAAGAAAAAAAAGAAAGAAAGAAAAGAAAGCACCAAGTAACCAGCAACACTGGGACAAAAATTAGGGTCTCCCATCTTTCCCAAGATGAATAAACCACATCATACTAGAGCTACGTCCTCAGCAGGATGAGGGCAGGCGTTCCTCAATTTACTGGCCTAAACGACTCAACACTAACGTCGTTGAATTTGTGACGCTCAGGGTATGTGTTGGGGGAGGGGCCCAAAGTCCGGGCAAACCTCCCACTTCGTCGATGAAACCGAGACCCAGGGAAGGCTCTCTATGGCGGAATAGAAGGTTGGATGCCTTACAAGCAAGGCCCGCAAGGCCAGAACCACATATTCAGACACTCCTTTCTCGGTCGCTCTAGGCCCCCAGGATTTCCAGAGCCCGAGAGGGAAGGTCTGGGCGGTGGGAGCCCCGGACCCCTCCACTTGCCCACAACCGCGCACCTCCACCTTCGCGACAGCCTCCCAGGCCGCGGCTCACTTACGCCGGCCCTCCGTCTGTTTTTGTGGTTGAGAGGGACCGAGAAACGCGACAGACTCTTCCTGCCGCCCCCACCTCAGCGGAGCTTCCGCTTCCGCCGGCTCAAGAGCCTTCGGAAATAGTGTCATCGGAGGTTGGGCGTGGGCGGGCCCCCGCTGTGTCCATATTGAGTGTGGCTGCGTCCCGGCGAGGCAGCCATGTTCAACGTGGCATTTCCTGGAGCGTTTCAACCGGCCCTTTTTCCGGTGACGTGAAGTTCCCCCCGCCAGAAATGCCGGCAATCTTTTGACGTCGCTTTTGTGGCGCTTGTAGTCTGTGATCCTGCTCATGCTTTCGCTCTTCTCATCATTATCATTTGCAAAATTAATAAGTTCACTAAAGATATTTTCCGCCAGAATTTTTTTTAAACTAAAAATAGGACCTTGTTTTCGAGGGATGTGGCTAAGTGGAAGGGCGCAAAGGTACTATTAAATTATAGCGTCATTTCGAATACTTCCTTTGTATGTGGTTTATAATCTTTTGAACGTCGAAGTTTTCTTATCAGTGTTTCATTAATAAATGAGACACTGGGTTTTTGACTTGTGAGAAGTAAGCTTGATCATTTTCGTTTTGTTTTATAGCTAACTTGTCTTCAGAGAGGATAGCTGTGACAATGTCACAAAACTGGACTGAAATCGATTTTTAACAGTGACTGTCACCTAATTGTCTGTAAGCACCCAATGGGGACAGAGTTCATGTGCACAGGAACATTTTAAGACAATTTGTTAAGAAACGAGAGCTGGGGTGGGGGGACGGATACAGTAACTGTGCTGTTACAGAATTAAATATGGCGTATGGGAACACCCTGCACCATATTGTAATTTTTAATTTATACCAGACTTTAGTGGATCTTCCCTTGCTAAGAATTAGCACCCTGAACTAGCTTTTTCTTCCACACCCAGGGCTCCATTTGTCATCCATGTATCCCAGTTTGGCGCTCTGGTGGAAAAACAAAACTTCATATATGTTCATGGTAACTTTCATACTGCATGCTTCCTGTAAGTGAAGAAATATGTGTACTCATGTTGCTTATTTCTTTTCAATTTATTTGGGCTTCAGTAAATAAGAATAAGCTCCCTTTGCCCCCATTTCCCAGGTTCTGAAAAATAAATAGCAATGGGATAATAAAGATATATGATAGCCCTAAGTGTGAGTATAGCTTCCCAAAGTAGTGTGGCCTTTACAAATGAGAATTTCTTGCATCTTAAAATTGGCCACAGTCTTTTTCTTTGGTATATAATTTTTGCTGTTGGAAGATGGAGAATGGAGAAACAAAGTCAGAGAAGATGAGAGTTGGACATTATTTCATAATTTACATATGTGTATATGTATATATATACATATATTTGTGTTTATATATAGTTTAATCTCTAAAATTTTTAAATTTAGTATCTCCTTTACACTTGTTTTTAAAGCTATTATGATGAATTAGTAATTATATCATTTCTTTTAGAGATCATTTTACATTCCAATTAAAAGAGGCTACATGTTTGTCAGTGAAAAATAATACAGCCTAGGACTTTTAATTAAGTGTACAAAGAAACCAATTTGGGGGCAGTAAATGTTTTTCATTGAGAGGAATCTTTTTTAACTATAGTTTTCTATTTTTAAAAAATTGTAAGTTAAATTAGCGTACTAGTCAAACTCATAATCAACCCAACATGTTCCCATTCCTTAGGTTAGACAAGGGAGAAGAGTTCAGGAAAACTGGAAAAAAAAAGAAGAAAAGGAGGAGGACAAGAAGGAGGAGATATTATCCAGTTTCACTACTTAACAAAATACCTTCAGAGATCCGAAAGAAAACAAACAAAAATTGAGTGTTGAGTCAAAATTCTTTCAAAGCAAAATATATATATCTTAAGCCAAATACTTTTGGCACAAATAAAAAGGTATCTACCAAACAAGTTCTTTAAATAACCAGCTCAGAATAATCCTGGGGCCAAAGATGAGTGACTATGTTTGACCCAGAGAACATAGATTTTGGTTGCCCCAAGTGCTCTAATTTTGTGAACTTTTTTATGGTAGCAGGAAGAAGAAAAGTCCTAACTCAAGGCATCTTTTAAATACATTGGTGGGTACACCAGATTGGCTGGCTAAACAAGACAGGGGAGACTCTACTGTAGGTCTTCAATGCTATCGGACACTTTCAGCCCTTTAATTGGTGGAAAGCTAGGGTTTTGTTAATATGTTCCAAAAGGTTTTTTGTCTGTTAACATGTTAGGCCTGACACAGAAAGGAGCAAGAAATACCTACTAAGTAGCACAAAGATAGCCAGGGGTAAACTCTAACTAGGATCAAGGTCTGCAGCATTCCAGCTTCTCCACATCACTTAAGTTCAATCTGTCTGTCAGCCTTTGCGGACATAGCTTGCTCCCAGGAACTCTTGTTCACAGAGTCAATGGAGAGGCAGAAAGGATTACAAGAAAAGCATGTGGAAGCTATCCTCTGGTCTGGCATTGTACTGTACTTACTCCTCCTAGCCAAACAGAAGCCACCCTTGTAAGACCAACCTGCAAACAGTCATCACATTCAGGCTTCTTTATGGCCTTTATGGTGAAGGGTGTGGGAAAGGACGTTGAACCCTCACCTGGCTGTCCAGACACTCCTTTCAGCCATTCTTGTGCCTGGCCACAGGTGCATGGAGATGCTAGAGTATGTAGGCTGGAGAAAGAGGGCTTTAGGTAACCAAGGAGGAGTGATCAGCTCTGCTGGATGCTGACTTTCATTGCTTGAAGGTCACTCATGCTTCTGCCCATATTTCCTGACCCATGGCTAGTATCTAAGCCTAATAAACTCATTGGGTCCCCAGGGTGACCTGTGGTGCACTCAAATTTTGTTTTGCCATTTCTTATGATGAGCATGGGGAGGCAGCATAAGAGAAAGTATGATTAGCTAAATAACCCTTCCTGGGATCTCAAACTTGGAACCCATGGAAAGACCAAGGCTTCAAGAAGGAAAGATCAGGAGGTTCAAATGATAGAAAACAACCCTCAGGTCTTAAGTTTAATTTAAAAAAGAAGGGGAAAACCCATGGTACAGAATGCAGATGGAGACCTTAATAATGGCCCACTACAGGAAACTATGATGGTCAAGAGAGTACTCTGCCTTTGAATTGTGCTTTTGAGTAGGAAAACAAATAAGAAAAGCAACAGTGGGCCGGACAGTGGTGGCACACACCTTTAATCCCAGCACTCGGGAGGCAGAGGCAGGTATATCTCTGTGAGTTCGAGGCCAGTCTGGTCTACAGGAGCTAGTTCTAGGATAGGCTTCAAAGCTACAGAGAAACCTTGTCTCGAAAAAAAAAAAGGAAAAGAAAGAAAGAAATGCAACTGCTTCTCACAGTTTGACTTATGAGGCTATAGCATGTAAAGGCAGCTGAGTTCAGTCTGAGTACTGTGAAATCAGAGAAAGTAAATACCCCAAATCCCTTGAGACAAAAGTTGCATAACCTGCGTAATCAGGAGGAAAGTTATTCCCCGAAGTACTGACTGAGTGAGTCATGAGCTACACTTGGTTGTCACTGGCTGAGGTCCCGGCAACACCTGCCCCTCTACTCTCCTCCACAAGTCTCTGATATTTGTCTGCACCTCAGCCATGTGGACCAGTTCACTAGGCCAGATGAGAGCATTTTCACAGAAGAGTAGGGCTGGTATGGTGCTTTCGTAGTTTAATGAGTCCTGCCATTTGGATATAGTAATTATAAGATAGGAGAGGTTCTGGCAGATCTGAATGATTTAGACTCGCATGCAAATCATGTAAATAAAGTGCTAAAGCAATCACAAAAAGATGAGGCAGGAAACAGGCAGGAGGGCCATCGGGTCTGTCTGGATTACTTGAAAGCAAATTGGCAGGATTTATATGAAGCTGGAGTTTCTAAGAAAAAAAGTCGACACTCAAATTATGTCATAGTTACTTTTCTTATTATTGAGATAAAGTACTATGATAAGGGCTGCCAAGATGGCTCAATAGGAAAAGGCACTTGACTCCAAGACTGATAACTGTAGGGTCTTTTTTTTTTTTAAATATAATTTTTTTATTGAAAAAAAAAGATTTCCGCCTCCTCCCCGCCTCCCATTTCCCTCCCCGTCTCCCTTTTCCCCCCTCCTCCCTCTCCTCTCCCCCTCCCCCCCCACTCCTCTCCCCCTCCCTCTCCAGTCTGAGGGGCAGTCAGGGTTCCCTGCCCTGTGGAAAGTCCAAAGTCCTCCCCGCTCCATCTTGGTCTAGGAAGGTGGACATCCAAACTGGCTAGGCTCCCACAAAGCCAGAACATGAAGTAGGATCAAAACCCAGTGGCATTGTCCTTGGCTTCTCAGCAGCCCTCATTGTCCGCCATATTCAGAGAGTCCGGTTTTATCCCATGGTTTTTCAGTCGTAGTCCAGCTGGCCTTGGTGAGCTCACAATAGATCAGCCCCACTGTCTCCGTGGGTGGGTGCACCCCTCGTGGTCCTGACTTCTTTGCTCATATTTTCCCTCCTTCTGCTCCTCCTTGGGACATTGGGAGCTCAGTCCAGTGCTCCAGTGTGGGTCTCTGTCTCTATCTCCATCCATCTCCAGATGAAGGTTCTATGGTGATATGCAAGATATTAATCAGTATGGCTATAGGATAGGGTCATTTCAGGTTCTCTGTCCTCAGCTGCCCCAGGAACTAACTGGGGACATCGCCCTGGGCACCTGGGAGCACCAAATCTCTTGCCAACCCTAAGATGGCTCCCTTAATTAAGATGTGTGCTTCCCTGCTCCCCTATCCGAC